CTTGCCTGCCCCCAGCAGAAAAGCTGATTTAAGAAATCTCCTGCAACTTTACTGATGCAACTGTTTGTGGGCTGTGCCTTCTAGCAGCCTTTTAGAGCAGTGATTATTCCTCAGCAGGAGGTGGTGACAACTTCGTCATCTTTCACTTGTGAAGAGCACTGCTTTCCTATTTACTTTATAAAAATAATAAAGCAAATTTAGCTAAATGACTTTCACAGGATTCGGAAACAGACTACTTAATCTTTTAAGGGGATTATATAATGTAGTGCTTGCAGTCTCAGGGGACTGAACTCCTTAGCTCAGGAAGCACCTTCCGGTTCTGTTCCTGTAAATGATGTTGTAGTAGACAGGGCATTGGGATAACTGAATTCTGACTTCATGCGTTAGCTCAGTGCAGGATGCTTTTTCGTTTGTATATTTCTAAAGTTAATACTATTTCAGAACGACTCAATTAAAATGCATCTTGGATTTTCCTTGTTACAGATTTCTGACAACTTAAGGTACGGCGTTTGTGGTGGGTGACTGCAATGGAGAAGATTGAGGAGCAGTTTGGTCGTCTGCGCATTGCAAAACGTTCTACGCTAAGTGAAGAACCTGCTTACTTATTGGATATAGATGTTTCAAAACCTGCTGAATCTGAAAGCAGTCGCTTTGTGGCAGTTTCCTGTTCCAGTAAGTCAATTAGGGTATATAACAGGGAAACATTAAACTTCCTGCGGGAGTACAGTAGCTGTCCTGGGATACTTAACGGAGTCAGATTTGCGCACACGTGTGACAGTGTGGTGTTTTCGGCATGCAGTGATGGTACAATAAAATGTTGGGATATTCGTTTAGCAACGCAGAAGGCTGTGCAGATATTCAGTGGCTATCCTTCAAATGTTTTCATCAGTTTTGATATTAATTGCAGTGATCTCGTAATTTGTGCTGGAACAGAGAAAGTGGAAAAGGACACATTTCTGGTGTTTTGGGATGCAAGAGGCGATACAAACTGTGCCAGCACAAGTAAAGAACCCTTGGGAGTCTATTCTGAAAGTCACAATGATGATATCACTAGAATTTGTTTTCATCCTATCAAGCCCGGTTTAGTAGTTTCTGGGTCAACTGATGGGTTGGTTAACGTGTTTGACATTAACAAGGACAACGAGGATGATGCTTTGATATCAACTTGCAATTCAGATTCATCAGTAAGTTTTATCGGCTGGTCTGGGAAAGATTATAAACAGGTCTATTGCATGACACATGATGAAGGATTTTGTTGGTGGGACCTTGCTCAGTTAGATACTGAAGAACCCATAACGTTATTGCATGTCCTGGATGTCCGAGAAGCAGTCTGCGTTGAAAATGGCAGCTTAAATTACCTAGTGGGTGGCTTGTACCACGAAAAGGCGGACAAACTGCTTCTCGTTGGAGGAACCTCAGCAGGAAACATTCACCTAATAACCTGCGGCCTTGACGGACTGAGCCTTGTGGGTACCCTTCGTGGAGGACATGCTGCTGCAGTTCGCTCTTTCTGCTGGGACGTGACGGATGAGTCGCTGTTGACTGGTGGAGAGGATGCACAACTGTTGCTGTGGAAACCGGGAGCTGCGGAAAGGTCCCTTGCAAGGAAAACATCCCTGAAAATCGCTTCTTCTGTTCAGAAGAGAGTGAGAGTTCACAGCACCTCCCTCAATAGCAAGAAGAAGTAAAATTCTGAGAATGGGAAGCTCTGCTATGTAGAGCTTTTTTGTTTATGTAATCTTCCAGGCAGGATCTGACTGTTGCTTAATTTGGAGGTATCCTACAGAGAGAACTACGACACTTAAAAATTCTACCTAGGAATGTACTTTAGTCATCAGAAGACTACTTTTTATATATATATATAAAATAAGCTGATGCCATTAATCTGAAAAGAGTAAATGCTCTCTAGTTGTTAAACAAGAGATCTTAAATAATTTTATATACAAATGTTTTTATGGTTATTTGATGTATCAGCCAAATTTATAATGTCTAATATAGGCCTGTGGCTTGCATAGTTTGCTACTTTCCCACTGAAATTCCCTGGCATGTTTTAAAAGCTCTTGTTTCAAGCTATATTTCTCTTACTTTACAGAGAAGTTAATGAAATTGCTCAATATATTAAAAGATTTTCTGTCATTTCTGAATGCCTGCGGGAATTACTTCTTGATGAAACAGAGAATAAGTACTGTTTTGCACTGTCATCTCACTGTTTATAACAAGCTCATAAAGCAGCAGTTCATAGAGCTGTATTTTCGTAGCAAAGAGATGAATTATTCAACCAAACAGGAATAAATGATTCTAAGCAGCTAATCTTTTAAGCATGAAAAGTGTTAAACTGGCATTATTTGGGACATATTTCCTACATGAAAATACGCAAGAATCTTCTTTCCTTGGGAGGGTATCTCAGTGGGTGCACCTGGAAGATTGGGGAGCTCCTTCCATGGGTTAAAGAGACTGATGTGCATGATGACACCAGTGATTTCTACTGCTGTGTTTGACATAAGCTAGTATCACGTGCTCAGTGGGAAAGATAACAACAAAAAACGACCGCCCCCTTCTGAGAATGTAGTTGTGGAATAACAGACCGATATAGGGAAATTTTAACGAGACCTTTTGGAGGTTTGTGTCTGTCCTTTAAGAAAGGTCTCTGTCTCTAGAAGGGTAATGTATGCTTAGACATCTCTCTAGGACTGCTATGTTGTAGTATTCCATCAAATAGCTATTAAGTGTTGCAAAAATTGCGCTGTACTTCTGAAAAACTGTTCAGTTTTTATGCTTATTCTGCTCCATTGGCAGACTACAACCTCTGCGCATCTGGCTCTGCACAGACAATTGCCTTCTGCCTTCTGAGTACCATTGCCGTCAAACACTGGTTGGTAATTGCGCTGTATTTAACATATGCGGACTGCAATTGAGACCAGCCAAAGCGTATTTAAGAATTGTTGTGTTATAGAACAGTTGACAAAGGAATTAGAGTTTTATTTCACATGAGGGTGGCTAGGTAATTCTTTCAAAGCAGTTATGAATGTCAAGTTTAGAGAGGAATACTCTGGAATTTAAAAACAGTTTCCTAAGTAGAGGAGATACTTACCTCCAGCGTATGGCTGCAGCTACGCTAGGGAGGTCTCAGTCATCTCCGGAAATGAATCCTAGTCAAGCAGAGGTATCGCATTTCCACAGGATACATTTTACAAACTGTTCATGTCCTTCAGCCATGTGTCCATACTTGCTTTGTGCCTGTCTGTTGATGATTAAGATGAGATTCAATTGCTTTTGTTACTGCTGGTTATTTACAGGTGCAACTTCAATTTAAAAATCACAGTTATGTAAACTCGTTTTACTTCTGTCAAGTGCAAGCCCCCCCCCCCCCAAAAAAAAAAAGTCTGTTTTTACTTTGTGGTATTTTGCGATAACTTGAGCTGTGAGCATCCCAGCTCTGAAGCGCCTGCACCAAATGCTCCTTCAAGTATTTCTTCTCTCAGGTTGCTTGTTATTGCCTGTTTTCGTGGCATCTGTGGTTTTGGGACTGAGGGGGCTGCGGGCCTCAGCCCCTTGTGCGTTCACCGTGATTCTCTCACTGGCCTGATTTACTTCAGCACCAGTAGCTGGGGAAAAAAAAAGGATTACTGAGACCTATTTCATCTCAAGTGTGATGCATAACTTGCTTTTTCGGTGTTTACCCAATTTTTTTCCCAGTGTCTTGGCACGCTCAGTGGAGTAAGGTCATTGGGCCTTGCTAAGAGTCTCTTTCCTAAAGACTCTGCGTGCGTGTGTGATACGTGGGAATGCACAGTGAGCGAGAGGGAGCTTTTGGGTTTTCGTTGCCTCCGCTGTCTTTCCCGCGTGCGTTGAGAGAGACTCTGTATACGGTGTTTGCCAGCAGTCTGTGAACTGAAGCAGCAGAGAGACGCGTTCTGGGTGGGAGGTGTTTGAAGTGTGCAACCTGTCTCTGTTAATGATTTGTGTGAGGATTACATCATTATATAACATTAGCTTATTACATTACATATCCATATCCTTTATATTTATAGTCAGGCTTTTCCCTGAAAAGTTGGTTTCTCTCTTGTATGTACATACCTTTTGCAGCAACAGGATGGAAAAAGGTGTGCATATATTTTAAATTGCTGCAAAAACATATCCGTTGTCAGAAGACTCGGGCTTGTGTTGCCCCGAAAATATTTGATTTTTCTCTTTTTCTTTTGTGTTGACTTAATTTGAGGTTAATATCCACTTAAAAAAATGCAGGTGGAAACCACATGTTGATGAGTGATTCACACTGCTTTTGTAAACTGAAAACACTGTTTCATAGACCACAGAGCAGAAGCAGAATGTGTAATCACATAGATAATAGACTTGAAATTAGGCAGGTAAAGGTGTGTGACTGTTCATCTCTTTTGTTAGTTTTGACGTCCACAAATTCGCTTCAGTATCGTTAGGAAACATACTTGAGCTAGAACTTATTGAAATTATGTGCAAGTACCAGCCATTCAGAAGTTCTCATTATGCTAATTGTTTAACCCAGAGGAAGCCTTAATTTCCAAAACAGTATCATATTTTTTCTGGTAAATGCAAATTAAAAATTCAGAAAGGTTACCCGAGTACAGACGACAGTGCCTGTCTTTATTCAGAGATTATGGTAAACCCGTTGTACAATACTTCTAAGAGCTGCAGGAGAACATTACGTAGGGAATATCCAAAAATAAATTTCTTTACATCAGGCGCATTCTTACATTTCCTCTTTTCTCTGTGAGTAAAATCTAACGCTTTCACACAAGCCGCTACTGTGTTTAAGGCATGTTCCCTTTGCATGTGAATTGCCGCCTTTTCTTGAAATACTATCTCATTTTGTTTTTCTCTCAAACAACAGACCTCCATAGCAGGAGGCGATCTGACAGGCAGCAGGGAATTTCAGCCGCAAGTTCAGTGGAGTGTAGCGTTTTGTCCGCGCTGACAAATGTGAAATAAGTTGTGAATTTATTTATAGGCTGAATTTATTTAGCAAATTGTCAGTCAAGTCTTTTTGTGGCCGAATTGTACGTGGCATATATCTTGTGTATTTAGGTGGACGTAGCTGCCTATTTGTATTTAAAATCTTAATTTGAAAAGATGCTGATGTAGTAGAACATTTTGAAGGCACAAAATGCAAGTTTTGTAGTATGTTCTTGAATGAAGGCTTTCTCTTGGCCAGGGATCCTAAGTAGCCTTGTACGTCATACTATTAAATGAAGCAGTGTATTTTGTGATGTGAAGTGCAGACTTGGGAATAAGCTTTTGAAGGAGGTAGAAGCTGGGCACCTGCCTGCTCAAGTGGCCGCATCTCGTGATTTGTTGGAAGGCGCCGTCTCCGCCGGGGTGGAGCCCAGCTGCGGTGTCGAGGGGTCCGGGAGGGATGCAGCTAATTGCAGCATCGGTTACTGAGCGAGGCTCTCGCACTCATGAAAAAAACGAGACTTTTTCTGGCCTGCCTTATGAAATTTATCTGCCCTCATCATTGTTAATTTGGAGTGGCTTCACCCCGTCCCTTCAAAACAGTCTTCTGTAACTTGGCTTCTTGGTCTTTTTTGGGCATCAGCGAGTTGTGTTTAGATGCCTGTGTTTTGGGAGGGGAGCGAAAGCTCTCCTTTGCCCCAAGAGGTGTGTGCTGTGCGGAGGCTGGTGGTCGCTGGGCGTTTTGTCACGCTGAACGGGGTGGGAAGGGGCAGAGGGAGGAGGAAGGCGGCCTGGCCCCCGCCAGCCCTCGCAGCGGCCGCCTGGAGAAGCTCTTCAGCTCAGGAGTCTGATCCTCTACCCTTGAAGTAAGGGTAATGGCTTACTTTTGAGCTTGAGGGAAGCAAGACAGGGCCTTAACTAAATTATACAAGGTATAAACACCCTCCGAGCGTGAAAGCCAGTTCCTGTTTGTCTGCAGGATGAGCAATTTAGCAGTGAAGCGTGTAAGAGAGGCAGAAACTATCTGCTTGCGAGGGTGCGATGTTATTTAACTTCTGCTCGCAGCGAGGAGAGACGCTGTTCAAGCCAGTGCTCCCTCTACGCTGTGGGACCCAAGGATGTGGGGATTTCACAGGCAGTGGAAAAAGAGAAGGCAAAAGCGAGTGTGGAGATGAACAGCTGTAGGAAGAAATTCAGTCTCAGCTTCTAACTGCCTCTTACCGGATTATACAGTGCTTCATGCCTTGGTTCCTTATCAAAACTGTCAGTGGGCAACTTAACAACCCAGTTGTGCGTCTCTTTGGTAACTTCTTGTTTTCCGTTTCCTTTTTCCATGCCAATTTACTCTTTTGCACAGGTATGCTGGACAGCAGGCAGTGCAGTGGGGTTAATTGCAATCACTGCCCACTAACGGAGTGGTCGCCGCTTGCCGTCATGACGCTCTGGCCTGCTCTGCTTTAATCATGTGCGTTTCTTCAAGTCTTGTATCTTCACGCCTTTAGACCCCTGCACTTGAAAGTATTGCTACCTTTCTGGAAACCAAATGATAGAAAATACCATTCTGCATTTCGATTTTTATATACTCTCACTGCAATCTTGGCACCAATATCTTTATGGAAATACATTGCATTTCACATTCAATATCAATTTCAGTCTTATTCTGTCACGTTCTGAATAAAAATTGGATGCTGCTAAAATCCCATAAAGGTACTTCTTGGACAGGCTTGTTGTCACAGGAGCTCAGAACTGGCAGTGAGAAATGCTAGGGGAATTCTAGAGAGTTTTCGATGCTAATTTAAAATGATCACTTTGGGAGGTCTAGTCACAGTGAAAAAGAAAATCCAAGGTCCTCAAAATACACAATTTCAATAGATCACCAAAAGACAGTTGGATCCCAAATAGCAGACCTGATAGTATTAATACAGGAAAGCGTACTAGACTAAAAAGCTTAAGCACAAATACAGAACCACAATTAATTTTTCTGGACTTTTTAAATACAGGAATTCTTCATCACTATCAGAATTGAATACCTCTGAATATAACGTATGCTAATGCTCACTAGTTCAGATCAGGTTTGAAAAAGCCTGAATGCACATATAACAGGTAGACTATTTGGAAGTGACTGTAACTTAACTTCTACTGAAACTTCTAGGGATTAATGGACAGCTGTGCTTATGAATCACGACACTGGTTCCCGATTTTTCTTTGATTTCATACTACAGATACATGAAGAATGAAGACATAGAAGTAAATCAGTAAAGTTTTTTGTGACACTGTCTTAAATTGCAGTTATTCCTGCCCCAAGTTATTCCTTGTTAGCGGATGTAAAATTTGCATGCAGAGTTCAGAGTTGTATGTATCTTCTCTTAGAGAAAAGGGGT